CGATTATATCGATTACTCGTTACTTACTCGAAAAGAAATAGATCGAACGGTTATTTCGATTTTATCGGCTAAACGAGTAGAATGGTACTTACGCTCGGTACGGGATTTCCCCCCTTTTGGGGGTTGCACAAAGCGTGCATGCACCGAAAGTGTTGCGAGTAGATCTACGACACGAATATGTACATGACTGTACACTTGCAACATCGATAAACGTGTAAAGACACAAGCGCGATTTGAGAAACATCGACGCGATCACCGTCGCCTTCTTTTGAGCTGATTACTTTTCTTACATGCAGCATGCAGGACTGGCAGGCTCAGTATGTGTCTACACTAGCTGCAGGTGCTGAAGTTCCCTCCACGTGCGAGTAGTCCTGAGCTAAAGACAGTAAAGTGGTCTTCAGTTTCATGTTTTCCGTTCTGTCGACGGTTCCCGAACCAGTTTGCTCGACGACCTAGGCCTGGCGTCTGGGCCTATTTTGAGCATAGACAGGAAAAGCAACTAGTTACTTGTTGGTGCGCCTCAAGTCAGCTCATCCGTCGAAATCCGCCGATCTGCACCCCTGGCCGGCTTCTCTGACTTCATCGTCGGAGTCAGCGAAGTCACAGGCGAAGGGCACCATCAGCTCTTGGGTTGCAACCAGTGAGTTGCCTCTGTCTTGTCTGTAATCGTCTGGTCAGTTCGAACAGCTGACGGACTTGTTGCGGGATCATCGGATCTATGCGCCCGCTTTTCGTCCTTGGCGATGTTGGACTCGTAATTTTTTTGAAATTCACAGAATGTACATTGTACGAGTACTGATGTAGTTACAATAATAATCGTTAAGCCGATAAGCCGATCGTTATGGTATAAGCTAAGCCACTAAGGAAAGACGTAATCGTTTCAGCACTAATAATGAGCGTTAGCATGCTAACGCGAGTTAGCAGCCAGCCCAGCGAGCTGGCCCAACCTGCACGCATGCGCGAGTCACGTGGGCACGCGCCCTTCAAAATCCTGTACAATGTCTCTTTCATGTCATTGCTGTTTGGTCTTTCGAGCGTGCAACTTGCGAAACAGGTGTTCCCAAAACAATTTCCTTCCGTTAGACTTTCAAGCTTGCATTCTCGTATCTCTATGTTTCAAATTCAGAATTCAATGACGCCTGTTGGTGCCTGAAACAATGTCGTTTTCTACAGTGGAACGTCGACTGTGGACTGTTAGCTTGCGCCATCATCAAGTTTCCTGAAATGAAGTACCTCCACGCGATCTCAGCGACCCTTGTTTGTGCCTTGAAACAATGTCGTCGTCACCAACCGGCGTCCAGCCTCTCCGGATCGCCTCGCTCTACCTAGCTCCGCCGCCCGCCTACTGCAAACGCAGCGACGGCCGCCACGCAGCACCACCACTGCAACAGCAGGCGCGAGCCTGACGATCGTAATTCGTATCCAAAGAGGCGAGTTTGTGGACTTTGATTTTCTGTTGGAAGTAACAACGGTAGTTGTCCACTGCCGTCACCAACGCCACCCAGCTTCTCCTCGCTCTACTTGGATCCGTATCGACGCTCGCCGCCAGCAGGCCGAATCCTACTGGGAGCCCGTTGCAGTGATGACCGCCATATGCGCATGCAGCACCAACAGCAGGTGAACCTGACTGTCCTATACGGGCCCTTCTCGATCGTGTCCAGAGAGGCGAGTTCGTGGACTTCGATTTCCTGCTGCCCGATACAGTTGCAGTCAGTCCAGCTCCGGCGACGTTCCAACTCCGTAGCCCCTCATATGTTGCTCTTCTGGCGCACTAGCATTTATTTGAATTCGAACTCAGAACTGCGCTTCGTAGGCTGCATGACAGTAGCACTTGAGTTGAGACCTGGACAGTGTTCGCCCTTTGTGGACTCATCAGCGCAGCACAGAGGGAATTAAGCCGAACCTGCTAGCAATGGAAAATAAAATAAATCTCCAAAGCCAGGTTATCAATATCAACTTGTGGCAACTACGCCTCGCGGTGTACTGGAACAGCACGACCCGCCTGCCAGCAGTGCAGCTCAGTGCACCCGCCAGCATTTCTGTGCGCATTTCGTCCTACTCACCAGTACAGATCCGCATCACGTACCGCAACCGTATGCCGCTACTACGAGTACGGCGCTTGCACGTGTCAGCTCCGGCAGTGCTACCTCCAGTGCCGACAGGAGCACCCCAGGGCAAAGTGTAAGGCCTCATCAGTAACTGTGTAAGCACTCAGTTTCTCACTTCTCAAAATTACTGGACTCACATCCTGATCTTATGCTCCGGAGGTATGTTGCACATGGTCGTAATTGTGGGGTTGTGGTAGGTTTCATCGGCAACCACTCAACTAACTGGGATCCATTGAATTTAACACGGTCACATGCTAACCCAAATTATATTTCTGCGCAACGATCCGTTTCTTGCAGCAGGCTTGAAACAGCTGGCCCGTGTTCTTCACCCCCTTTCTCGTCTCTGTGCTCGTCTCTGCAACTATTACACCCATCCCCAAGTCGGGCAACCCCTCCCATCCTACCAACTACCGACCCATCTCCCTGCTCAGTATAATATCAAAAACACAAGAAAGAATAGTCCACTCTCGTCTGTACAATCACATAGCACCGCACTTACCCACATCACACCCCACCTGCCCAACCAGCAGTCCGAAATCCGCGAGAAAGACGGCACTGAGCAGCAGCTCGCCCGTCTCGTCCATACCCTCTCCACTGCGAGAGACGACGGGAAACACGTCAATGGCTGCTTTTTCAATTTAAGCAAGGCCTTCGATCGTGTGTGGCATGCAGGCCTTCTAGCAAAACTCTCCCACTTTCGCCTTTTCTCGAGATCCCTGCCAGCGTCCCTCAGGGATCTGTTCTTGGGCCGCTTCTATTCCTCGTCTACACCACAGACCTTCCACACGCATGCGAGAATCCCAGCACCACCTGTAGCCAGTTTGCAGATGACACCGCTCTGATTTCCATAGCAAGAACTCTTCAAGACTGCACCCGAAACCTACAACAGAGTGTCACAGCAGCTGGAGACTGGCTTCAAAAATGGCACCTGCTGGCTAACACAAAGAAAACAGTCATCCTCCCGTTCTACCACAATAACCGCCCCCCTGAACAGCTACCCCAGATCACCCTCAGGAATAGTCCGCTTACCGTAGCACAAAAACACAAACACCTCGGAATAATCTTTCAGCATGACCTCCGTTGGACGGAGCATGTTGAATACATAGTCAAAAAATCACTCAATATTCTTTTTAGACCAAGGTCAACACTCACCAGTGTATCTTTATCTCACATCTATCAGACATACATACTACCTATATTCTCATATGCGAGCAATGCTCTCACACCGTTGTCCCACACTTCCCTTGACAGGCTAGAATGAATCCAGCAAAAAGCCGCCAGAATATGTCTCGACCTTCCCCTTTACACACACTTAGAACACTCCCACCTTTTGCATCGCATCAAATGGCCAACATTATTTTCACGCTTTAAAGTTAAACATATACTCTTCGCGCATTCTCTGCGCCACAATTATGCCCCACCACATATACTCTTGCTGCATACTGCTAGCAACGTGCAACCTTCGTATAATTTACGTCGCTCTCGTACTTGGCACTTGCCAACTCCGCGGCCTGACCGCTGTCTCCATTCTCCCCTGTACAAGGCCCTTCATTACTTTAATTGCCTGCCCACTCAGCTTCGCGAAATCCCTTCTCGTACTCCCTTCAAATCCGAGATATCCCTGCTGTTGCACAACTCTGTATGCTCGTGTAGCGAGCACCCCTGCCCGTACACTTAAGTACGCAACTCTGTATGCTCGTGTGGCGACCACCCCTGCCCGTACACTTAAGTAGTCATTAACCCCTAGGCCCTGCCCACCCAATTCTTCCTCACTCTTTCTCCTTTCTTACACTATTATCTCTTATTGGCCACTGGCTATCGTGAGAATAAAGATTTGAAACAACAACAAATTATGCTGGGGGTAGAGAATCAGCCAGAATATTCTTACGCGCCTCAAGTTCACACTACACTACCATAAGAATGTATGGAGCAGTGGAAAAATGCGGGAAACAACACATGAAGGGAATGCAGTACCAGAACAAACACGTGATAAAGTTGTCAGTCTGGTTACGACTTGAACAGCGGCAGCACTTTGATGTGCTTCTTTTGTTGACACAGTTCTGGCCTCAAACTGCGAATGTATAGCACTTCCAGCGTGAATCAGTGCGCGCTGTTCCAGGCTGGTGTGATGACACTGAAGCTGCTGCTTCGTTCCTGTTGTTGCGTTTCGTTATTGTTCATTCCCATGTAACTACTGATGAAAATGGTTGAAAAGCTTTTCGTATAATGAAATTGACAACCTTGTTGTTGTGTGTATATAAATTTCGTTCGCCTACCTCTCTATTTAAATAATATATATACACCTGTCAACAAACAATGGATCACTCGTAACTAGTACTTCAGTAGTGTTTTGCTACTCTGAGTTTCATGCACTGTGTGCAATCATCAGGCAAAAATATTCAATATTGTTTGCCTGATGATTGCACACAGTGCATGGAACTCAGAGTAGCTAAACAGTACAAGTGATCCATTGTTTGTTGACATGTGACATTGCTCCCCCCCCAAGAAATTCGATGTTGAGCCCTTTTTCTGCAGCTGCAGGCATAGTCTTATTGAGTATATAAAATTATACTCAACCAGCGGACAGAACTGGTTCGTCCTTTGTGGACTCATCATAGCAGGACAGAGGAAATGAGATCGAACCTGGTAGCAATGAAAAATAAATTTTCCAAAGCCAGATTTAGACCAGGCCCGAACGTACCTTGCCAAAGTTCTCAAACTGACAAGTCGACATATATATTATATTTAGCATTTCCCACCTCTTCGCCACCTCCGTTTGTTCCGCATATGGTCTATCAGCACAAGATATGTGAATGTGAATATCCTCTGCATGATTTCAAGAAGCCATGCAGAACTTCTAGTAGCATGGACATTGCATTGGCTAATGCCTACCTGGAATGGACCAGGTGTAACTGCTGGGACAGTGTTCAAGAGCACTCGTGCGTGGAGCCAATTGTTACCCTGGTGTCCACTTTGCGTGAAGACCCTGACATTTGCAGTGGAAGTCTTCACGTAGACGTTCAGCGTACCGATGTTGTCACCGTACATGTGGTACCAGAAAGAGAAGGTACAGACCTTTGGGTGTAATGTGGTGTAATGTGGTGAGTAGATAATGGCTTTATCACCAGCAAAATTTGGTGGAGAGGCCTCGATATACAGGTAGTGACCTAAAAACAAGCACACATAGCCGTAGAAGTGGAACATGCCTTGTTGTTCGCCCATAGAATGAGTGTATACTCATATACGACCACAACAGGTTCATTCACGAAGCATTGAACATTCATGAGGCCATTGAAAATAACTGACCGGTTAGACAACAATTGGGTGCAAGCTATGAGTAACGGCATGTCAATTCAACAACAAACTAAGCAGTCAGACCTTGCCACAATCGGATACAAAACTGACAGATTTCTAGCATCTGCCGCAACCCGACATTTAGCTCCAACTAGCCGATCTCCATCTAATGCACATGCAACCGTGATATGATTTCTTGTAGATCAGATCTGCCAGCCCATCCTATCATGCCAAACAGTTGGACTCATATCGGGCTGACCCTGGCGACACAAATCACTTACCAGACCCACTTGAATGATCTGACAAGGGACCTGTGTCTCTACTTTCTGTTGCTCCTTGTTTTCTCGTCCAGTCAAATTGATCAATGCTAGTAGCTTGTGTGTAGCCGCTCAGTCCTGTTGTGAAGTCAGCAGTGGATGCTCTGCATGCTGATATACGATAGACATGTATAGCAAACCCACACACATGTTGCAGTACACAAACACGCGTACACGCCCACGAACACACGCACACACACACACACAATTCGTACACACATACTCATGGAGGTACGCACAGGAAGAGGGTACAATAATAAATCCTAAGACTCTTCGAAATTTGCGTCCGTTAAGGTCCATCCGCATACGGACTATGATTATGACTACGACTACGACTACGACTACGACTACGACTACGACTACGACTACGGACTATGATTATGACCGCTGGCAGTTGTCGGATGCAGGAAGGGGGATACGAGTAGCTGCTAGTCAGAACCGCCGGAAGAAGTTTTTGATTGGTCCGGTAGTGTCATGACCTGTCATACTTCATGTTTGATATAGCGGGTACACATGCCCATCAACAATAGGAAACACGTGTTGATGGCCAAAAAACTGGTCCGGTAATAACTTGCCCAACCGGACCGTCGTCGTCGTGGTCGTGGTCGTGGTCGTGGTCGTGGTCGTGGTCGTGGTCGTGGTCGTGGTCGTGGTCGTGGTCGTGGTCGTGGTCGTGGTCGTGGTCGTGGTCGTGGTAGTGGTAGTGGTAGTGGTAGTGGTAGTGGTAGTGGTAGTGGTAGTGGTAGTGGTAGTGGTAGTGGTAGTGGTAGTGGTAGTGGTAGTGGTAGTGGTAGTGGTAGTGGTAGTGGTAGTGGTAGTGGTAGTGGTAGTGGTAGTGGTAGTGGTAGTGGTAGTGGTAGTGGTAGTGGTAGTGGTAGTGGTAGTGGTAGTGGTAGTGGTAGTGGTAGTGGTAGTGGTAGTGGTAGTGGTAGTGGTAGTGGTAGTAGTAGTAGTAGTAGTAGTAGTAGTAGTAGTAGTAGTAGTAGTAGTAGTAGTAGTAGTAGTAGTAGTAGTAGTAGTAGTAGTAGTAGTAGTAGTAGTAGTAGTAGTAGTAGTAGTAGTAGTAGTAGTAGTAGTAGTAGTAGTAGTAGTAGTAGTAGTAGTAGTAGTAGTAGTAGTAGTAGTAGTAGTAGTAGTAGTAGTAGTAGTAGTAGTAGTAGTAGTAGTAGTAGTAGTAGTAGTAGTAGTAGTAGTAGTAGTAGTAGTAGTAGTAGTAGTAGTAGTAGTAGTAGTAGTAGTAGTAGTAGTAGTAGTAGTAGTAGTAGTAGTAGTAGTAGTAGTAGTAGTAGTAGTAGTAGTAGTAGTAGTAGTAGTAGTAGTAGTAGTAGTAGTAGTAGTAGTAGTAGTAGTAGTAGTAGTAGTAGTAGTAGTAGTAGTAGTAGTAGTAGTAGTAGTAGTAGTAGTAGTAGTAGTAGTAGTAGTAGTAGTAGTAGTAGTAGTAGTAGTAGTAGTAGTAGTAGTAGTAGTAGTAGTAGTAGTAGTAGTAGTAGTAGTAGTAGTAGTAGTAGTAGTAGTAGTAGTAGTAGTAGTAGTAGTAGTAGTAGTAGTAGTAGTAGTAGTAGTAGTAGTAGTAGTAGTAGTAGTAGTAGTAGTAGTAGTAGTAGTAGTAGTAGTAGTAGTAGTAGTAGTAGTAGTAGTAGTAGTAGTAGTAGTAGTAGTAGTAGTAGTAGTAGTAGTAGTAGTAGTAGTAGTAGTAGTAGTAGTAGTAGTAGTAGTAGTAGTAGTAGTAGTAGTAGTAGTAGTAGTAGTAGTAGAAGTAGTAGTAGTAGTTGACCCAGGTCAAGTTGGGCGCTGCAAGAATTTTGGAAATTTCGATTTGCATGATGTTGGTGGATCAGAGGTGCCTCAAGGCCTTTCTGCTGGTGATCCGCCGGCCTGGAGTGGAAGAAGAGTGCAGCCTTCTCGATCGGGTGAGTCCGCTGCTGGCCGGACCGGTGGTGTGCCTCGCGAGGTACGGGCGACTTTGGTATCCAGGCCCCCGTCATCGGCCGCCGAACGCTCGGGTGCGGCACCGGCGCCTGAGGTCGCTGGATCTTCCCAATCTTCTGTGTCTGCGACTGCGGTTCCGTGTGGGGAGTCACTACGGGTGGACTTGCCTGTTCCTGTGTGCTCCGGGATGGTTCCTGATTGCGCTGCCGCCCCTTCGCCCGTGGGTGCTTCTGCTGACCCCACTGCAGCTTCCCGGGTACCTGCGTCTGCAGCGCCGACCTCTGTGGGTCCCGGCTCGTCTCGACAGCCTCAGTTTGTTGATCTGCCACCCGAGAGATGTGATTCTCCAGAACCTGATGGCTTTTGGTCGTTGCCAACAGACGATATAATCATTTTAATGGACAAAACCCATGCAGAAATAGTCAAGTGGCAACGGAATCTATTTATTATACCTTTCGGGGATGAGGGTCGTCGGTTCGTCAAAGAACTAGCTCGCCTGATTGGTCTTTTCAGCGGCGGAACTCGCGACGGAGCTTTTGCATGGTCGGCTGTGGTCATTGCTTGCCATCTGATTTTGCAGCGGCCTTTTGTAGTATCCAATGCCTCTGACAACAAGAAATCGTTACGCAAGCGTCTTGACTGGTGGATATGCGGAGACATGGCGGCATTGCTGCGTGAGGCACGGTGCATTCAAGCCCATCTACCCAGATCAACACCTGGCAAAACAGCAGCTAATGGTCTGGATGACGTCGAGTTCGCAAAAATGGTATACAGCGACCGCATTGGAACAGCTGCTCACTACCTGGAGGATGATGGTGGTGGTGGCGTACTCCCGTTGGACAAGATTGTGGGTGGCAAGTCGGTACTGGAATTGTTGAGAGACAAGCATCCTGTTCCGGCTGATGCAGAACCAGAGATTCTACTCGATGATGAAGCCACAGTCCAGGAGAATGTGCTGTTTGATTCAATAACACCAGCTCAAATCCGCAAGACCTGCATGATTATGAAGGGGGCAGCGGGTCCGTCAGGCCTTGACTCCGCTGCCTGGCGTCGGATGGCCTCAATGTATACATCAGCTTCTGACGACCTGTGCTCGGCTCTGGCTCGTGCTGCCAAGCGTCTTTGCACTGAGGCAATTGAGCCGCGGGATCTCCGCTCATTCCTGGCAGCAAGGCTCATTCCATTGGATAAGCAGCCTGGGGTAAGGCCTATAGCCATCGGGGAGGTGTTTCGCCGCGTGATAGGGAAAGTGGTCATGTCGGTTATCGAGAGGGATGTGGCTGCGGTTACTGCTCCTCATCAGCTGTGCGTCGGCGTCCCGTCGGCTTGCGAGGTCGGGGTGCAGGCTTTGACCGGCCTCTATGACCGCGAGACGACTCAAGGTATTCTGCTGGTGGATGCGTCCAACGCCTTCAATTCTCTGAACAGGGCCGCGGCGCTACACAACATTCCAAGAATCTGTCCTGCCGCTGGGCGAATTTTCATTAACACCTACCAGGCCGACATCCCTCTATACCTCAATGGCGGAGAGGTCATTTATTCCCGGGAGGGTACATGCCAAGGGGATCCTCTTGCCATGGCGTTCTACGCTCTCGCGACTGTGCCCCTGGCATCTCGGCTGTCGCGTCGACTTCCAAGCACCAGCCAGATTTGGTACGCGGATGACGATGCCGCAGCCGGAGAGCTCCTGCCGCTGCGTGGGTATTGGGATTGCATCGTGGAGGAGGGGCCCCGGTATGGCTACCACCCCAATGCCATGAAGACGGTTTTACTCGTCCGTCCACATTTAATGGAAAGGGCCCAGGAGGTATTTGCCGGCACTGATGTCCGTATCCGGAGCGACGGCGTTCGTTACCTTGGCGGGGCCATTGGAGACCAACAGTTCCGAGAGAATTTTGTGAAGAGCCGTGTTGAGGAACTGTCCACATTGGTTAGGCGCCTTGCTGGTCTGGCTGTCACCCAGCCTCAGGCGGCCTTTCGCGTCTTCTCTGCCTCTCTGCAGTCCCGTTGGACCTATCTGCAGCGTGCAGTCTTTGTGGACCCTGTCCTGTATACGCCACTGGATGACGTCATCAACAAACATCTGCTGCCAGCATTGACAGGCCATCCTCTTGCGGCTGATGGTGTACTCCGTCAGCTTTTTGCAATGCCTGTGAGGAATGGAGGGCTGGCTATCCGCATTGGCAGTTTGCGTGCGGAGGCTGAGTACCTCCTTTGCCGGACGTCGATAATGCCCATGGTGGATTGCGTGCTGACTGGTGCTGTCGATGGTCCTGATGCTATCGACGGTCCTGTTGCCGATATCATCGCTGCCTCCAGGGGTTTGGCCACGCAGGCTCGCCGGGAACGCCGTGCGCAGCACAATGCTGCATTGGAGGAGATCAGGCCCGCTCTGACGGATGAGCAGCGCCTACTAGTGGATGTCGCGGGTGACGGCGGTGTGTCAACGTGGCTGGTTACGCCTCCATCGGCTTCATTTCCTTTAACTATATTCAACAAGTCTGATTTTCGAGACGCATTGTGCCTGAGGTATGGCCTGCCGCTTGATGGCATATCATTATCCTGTGTTTGTGGCCAAGACATGTCAGTTCATCACGCCCTCACGTGCCCAAGCGGGGGATACCCTACCCAGAGACATAATGAACTTCGCGACCTCCTAGCGGACGCACTCGCTAGTGTTGTTTGCGATGTCGAGATTGAGCCACCGCTGATGCCGCTGGGTGGTGAAGCCGTCTCTGGGGGCTCAGCTGACGGTGCTCGTGTGGATATACGGGCTCGTGGCTTCTGGACCAGGCAGCAAAACGCCTTTTTTGATGTACGGGTCACGCACCCAAGGCCGTCTTTGCTGTCTGGACCAGAAGTGTCGAGGCAGTTATCCCAACACGAGCGTCAGAAGAAACGTCAGTATTCCGATCGAATCAACCAGGTGGATCGAGGATCGTTCACTCCGCTTGTTTTCGCCACCAGTGGACAGTGTGCTCCCGAATGTGGCATCTTCCTCAAGACCCTCGCAACACAACTGCACCATAAGAACTCGGACATACCGTATCGTCTCATCATCAGCCACTTGCGCTCGAGAATCAGTCTATCTCTGATGCGGTGGCAGATTACTTGCTTCCGAGGGTCACGTGCATCATACCTACGCAGTGGATCCGGCATTGGCCGACATTGCTTTGTAACGG